ACTATTGGTGGTCTGAAGCCAACCAGTTCGACTAACCACTCCGTGATTCATGTCAGTGGTCGTGGTGAATCAAATCCTCATATCTCCCGGGAACGAGCACAGCCAGCATCTTCGGTAAGTGTACGGCCACGTGAACCACACCAATAGCTGCTTGTCGACGGATCTCCGTTTCACTTCGGGTGTACAATCTTGGACACATCGTCTTCCTCACTGTACATATCTCGCACAGACTGTTCGATCAGGCATCTTTCACATTCAGCAGACGGGGCCATGCTGTATAACCTAACTGTGATTCATTCGTTTGTCAGCTTCCACCGCTAACACCCTTCCCTAATCATGCATGACAATGACAGTGTGTTCCCTGTTGTACTTAATCCGGTTTTCTCCATCTCACAATTCGTCAACTTACACCTTCACCCACCAGCTACCGTTAACAATTGCACCATTTCTCTTTACTGATCTCGTTTTGTTGCTGTTCCCATTGTTGTTCCGGTTCTCGGTTAATTTAGTTCACGCTCTCCCGATCCGATTTGTTCCTCACGGCTAATTTTGTTTGCACATATTCTGTATTCTGTTTCGAAATGGAACCGTTCGACTGACTTGTGGCTCAGCCCTATTCTTGTGATTCAGCCTACCTCTTTCTATCCCCGTCCGCAGACTAACCCCTGATTCGATTGAGTGATTGTCGGCTACTTTTCCTTTTCTGTCCAGCCCATTTCTATAATAACGTTTTACTGGATTCAGAGCCTGTTTCGAATTGATTTGATGCTATACTAATAAACGAATCCTATCGTAACCTTTGAGGGAAGACGATCGTGGACACTGGTTCTGACGCACGGTGAACCGGAATAGAACGGGTTCACTGTTGTTACCCGGTTATCAATTTAGTAGTTGTTTATAACTCACTCTATCACCACCCGGTTTTTAGCTCAGATGCGCTCATTTCAAGCACCATTCTTCATGATTATACGGGTATATTGTGCGACGTCGACAAGGTTTAACATAGCGAATCAGTTTCCCCATGCGCTTTGGTGGTGATAACGATCTCGCGGCATAAAGCCTACGAACGGAACAGTTTGCCATGAGCTCAATGGTTTCTGTTCCTATGCTTCTTTGAATGAATTGCATCCGCAAGTGAGGCGTTGTTTTATTTTACATCTGTACGTGCTATCATAAGGGAGGTGTTTTTAATTGGTGTCTGTCGCTTAATATGTCATTTTTGTGAAGAGCCATGACGAGGGTGGAGATTGTGAACCTTGTTCCTATCACCTAAATATCTGCTGTTTTATCACCCATGACTGGTTGTGAAAAGCTACGTTGTGTCTTTCATTGAGAACTACTAAAAGGTGCGAAGGGAAATTCCTCTTGTACTCGCCTTGTCATGACTGGTGTATGCATTAACACAGAAAACTAATATCGGTTTGTGAATTTTTTTGTTGCCCAAATTCATCTTGATCGTCCCCCTACTATCACAATGTTTATCACCTTAAGCTTTTGGATAGTTAATTTGGTACACTGCGCATGGTGAACTCCACAGATAACTCTCATCGGTTCTCCCATAATAAGGCTATTATGATCTAAAGTTATTCTGACTATCCGTTTCCACTGTTCCTGTCAGACCATGTGTCATATGCTTATAGGTTTTACTATCTACGATTCTGGAGTGCTGGATGGGAAATCTGGTTTGCGTTTGAAAAGTCATACGAACTTAAGAAATTTGTTCGTGAAATTACCAAGCACGTGTCTTTCTCAGCTACCGGGTTTGGGAGTGAAGGGTCGAAAATAAACCGGCGGGCATGCCCAATCTTAAAAGTGCATCATCTATCTTGGGTTTTTATCCGTGTACGTGATCTTATCGCGTAAAACTCCCTACCATTTCCACATAACCTCAGTGACTGGGTGATGGAATAATCCCTATTTCGCATATCTCGGTTTACCGAAGTGCGTGGATTGCATGATACGCACGAATAGTACATTCCTGAATAAACTACCGGTTTACTGCCAGCTTTTCCGAACTGCTTGATGGGTAATATACGATAACATTATACTTTATATTTAGACTCAGAAAACATTCGCATACATCAATTCCAGACACTCACCAGTAACAGTATACGATCTCAGTAAATCATGGGCCAATACCGATTGGAAAGGCTCCCAGGGCGAATAAAACTGCCCCGTGCGAGTGCACCCGATGCACCATACGATTGTTCGCTCTGATGCCCCATCTCCGATAATAGGTTGTCTTCTCCAGAGGACTGAGTTTCGGTTTAGATCACTCAGGGAAGTGCCCAATGGCTTTTGTTTTTGCATCAATGAAAACCTTAACCAGGACACTATGTCACTTGGACACCGTTAGGCCTCCTGGCTGGGGACCCCGAGATGATAAGCACCGATGGTTAGAGACACTGAGTGATATGGCTAGGTGTCGCGAACAGTGGCACTCGTGCATCCACACATTATTCTCCTAACACCACTCTATATGAATTCTCCATCTTCCGCTTGCATTTGCTTTCAACATTCCAATCTTCATCCAGCTCTTTTATCCAAATGGGGCACCATAAGATAGCAATCATTACCGGCGCACGGAAGTGCATGGCTAATGGTTGTAAAAACTGATCGATCAAATGCTTCAAATGAGATTAAAGAAAACATACTCAAGATTACTATGCATCTTATTAGTACACTTTGGGAGTGGGACACTACCGGTTCGTGGGACGGAAACTATCACTAATAAGTGATTTTCGGAGGATCAAGTTAAACTACAGTGATAGAATGTGAACACCTGACCTTCAGATACAATCCTCAGTCCATTCGGTCCGTCATGCACTAGGCTGGAGTTGCGCTCTGGGTGAAAATCCTCATCAGTGCACACTTGAGATTGGAAGTCCAGACCTTTCATCTGAAATGCATGTGCGATGCCACTGTGCCAACTGGTTCACACTGGCCTTCAGGTTTGTTCACAGGCCGTATCCAGTGAAAGTCTACCAGTTCATTGGACTTGATTGTAACCACGGGATAGTGACGCAATATACTCTTCTGACTCCTACCGTTGGTATCAGCCGGTGGGATGAAGTATATCTGAAGCGATTTCGGCCTAGTTTTTACATCAGCTTTGAACCAGTCGGTCACCTCATTCTACCGGTTGTTTGTTCGGAGCTTCTTTTTGAGTACCTGGCAACAGTTGACAAATTTTATTTGTGTGGGCCACAAACATTGAGAGTTGGTCTTTTCCCCAAATTTTAATACTTTTTACACAGTGGATGGGCCATATAAAGTAAAGATTAATTCTTCTCACACACATGTGCGTTCAATTTGTCAGCCATTCATCAGGCATGTGTTTCGAATCCCAACCCGAAGCATCATGGTTTTAGCCTCAACAGGAAGAAAATAGTACACAATACTGATGAATCACAGTTAGGACGGTGCAGCTAACGAGTGTGTACATTGGTTTGAACGGGTGTCGAATTGGAAAAGCACAAATAGCGTTACTGCTTTACCCCCAGATGACCTGATTTTCTGACAATAAAAGAACCGGAATACATAATTCACTGCTCCTTGTTGTTCACGTTGACGTCCCTTCGACTTTATTTGGATGCATATCAAACACTTGCAGGAACAACTCAAGTGACGGAAATTGTACCATCATATTACTGTCCTGTCGTAAGATCTGCCATCTGACAGAATGAATTGAGCGATCAATTAGATCAGCAACGGTAGATCTCCGGAAAAATGTGCGTGGTCTTGCAGACAAATTTCTACGGTTGAATAAGGACTTATGTATGATGACGCCGTTCACATACACGGGTGACTTGTGGGAAGATAACTCCACAAAACTGTGTAATTCGATAACGTTTGAATTTTTCACACTTAGGGTACAGCTGTACATGTACATACTTCCACCGAAAAGACGGAATGCTTTTGATTCTGTATGAGGAGAATTTTTCATAGCCAGTCATACCTGTTGTTCAGGTTTGTAAGCATGTGGATGAAAATGAGACATAACATATGGCGCATTTGAAACCAGTTCACTCCATTGAGAAATCAGCAATACACATCAACCATGATAATTTCTTTAAACGTTTGGCAAACTAAATTGTGTAGCAAGATTCTTTCATAGACATTTCGGGCCAGGTAATTAGAGTCGTTCATTCCTTGCACATTTCCTCAGATCCAAATGATTTTTACTAATAATTCATAGTGATATTGTTGAGCAGGTTCTAGCGATGAAACTTATGGGAGCTTTTGACTGCGAAACGCTACCATGGGTTGAATCATATTTCTGAAATGTCCCAAAGAAAAGCTCCCGATGATGGGTTCAAATGACTACTATGAGGGTGTTTAGGAGCAAAATTACCCGATTTTTAACAAATTGTCCAGGTGCCGAGCATAATCTGTGAATATGTTTAATCCTCTCTCCTTAAATCCTTGTTCTATGCCGTAGTGTTCGTTGTTCTGCTGCAAATCAGCTTAACATTCATGTGATGATGAGTTTTCTATTAACAATACGATAATCCGTATTTCGGACATTGATAACACCATTCAACGTTGTCCTGTAGCCAAAAGTTGCATTCACTTATCGTTTTCTCACCCCCATTGAGCATTAGTTCGTGTAATGTACAGTTTGATGCACCACTAAAGTTCAACCAGTATCTCTGAATGCAAAATCACGAACGATCCATCTGATAGAAATGTGTGACACCGCACAACCGTGTTGCTTCTGTCAATTTTGGCCGGTTATGATATATAATAAAAAATCAAACTCAATCCCTGAAACAGATAGACTTATAAATTAAATATTTATCTTATGCGTGTTGCTGTCATTCTGACGATGTACACGCAGGCGTGACCAACAATTTTGAGCGTTTTTATTCATCTGTTTTATTCCCTTTCCCGTTACCACCACACAACAGTCCAATCGTGAAGACCCACGTCAAATCCGCATTGAACGTCCCTCGGAGTATATGTGCCTCAGCGTGCTACGGGAGGATCGTGCGCATTTTTCCAAACGCGCGAACGACCAAAGTTTACCATCGAAGGAACGTGAGGAATATCAATTTCGCTTGGGAGAAGCGGAAAAACGATATGAACGGTTGAAAAAACGACTTTATTCGGGTCCCAATAGAGCCCGTGAAATGCGGGCGTACATTCAAGAGCTGCGAGTGCTCGAGAATGAGTGGTACAACAAATATAGTTCCGCAAAGCTTAAAGGGGACTCCAAGAAGGCAGAATATTACGCAGAACGCCTAGATCTTCTGCGAAATGAATTAAGACAAAATGCAGACCCTCGACCAAGCAATTCTTGATGCTCGGGATTTTTTACCTCACTACTCTCCTTTTTTCGACCATTTTATTCTCGCGCCAGTTTCATCCGTTTAACATACACTCAACGTAACGTGATTCTGATTTGATCCTTCAAGCTGTCTTTAATATACGGACAACTGCCACTCTGTCTTCAGATTTCCCGCTGTTGCATACTCATAAATCTATTTAGAACAATGGGCAGATACTAACACGGAATACTGAAATGGATAAGGTAGAAAGCCAC